GAAAACTGATACTTGACCTTCCACAGCCTTCTCGGTCTGAATCACTCTAAGTTCTGAATCAATCTTAGTCTGGAAGTGCGTAGCCATTGTCATATAAAGACTAGCGGCATCAATCCTACCTAGATCCATCGTCTCGAGTGAAGCAGCCTCAGCCTTGTTCATTTGAACAGTGAATTCAGCAATTTTCATATCACTACTAGTGATCTGATCCCTTCTTTTCTAACTGCATCTGACCATGCAGTCAGTTGTCTGCCTCATCCTTTGATCCATCGACCTGTTCAATGTGAATGAACGCTTCCGAAGGGACAGCATCTTTTGTCATCGTTGGGATAGCCGCTGGGGGCGAACTGTCTCCCGATGACGACATAGATTTTCTAGCTCCCACCTGATCAGGTTTGGGCTCTTTGGTCGGTTTGTCCTTCGGAAATATCTCTGGGGCATTCTGTCGATTTCTTTCCGGTGGTGGATTTGGTTAAGGCTCCTGTTTAGATGCCATTCGCGACATTGCTGTTGCGTCCAATCCAAGTGACGATTGAGCTTTGGATTATGACGATCGGATTCTGTTTGCCTCTCCATTGTCTGACAACATCTCAAACCCCAATATGGCTTGATAGAGTGCCAAATGGTACGATATCAAATAGGAAATATCTTCAAGAAGGTCCCGAATTGCGTACCAAATTAAGTGTGCGAGCCTTCCATCTCTCCTAGTTCCGAATACCTTCAGTAGTATTTTTTGAAACTCGCGAAAGGGATTGCGTGCCTGCTTGCCTACATCAGTATTCATTGCTACTAGCCTATTGTAGTATTTAGAATCTCTAAACGAATCGAGCCCAAACTTTCTTACCGCTGCATTCATTACATACCTCGGTGAGATTGTACCATCCGGTTTGGTCTTCAATACATCCGGAAAGTAGGTTCCATACGCGTTTCAAAACACCCATGCCCGGTTGACCCTTCTCCTGGATATCAATCTCAGTCTGGTTTGGTTGGACCAGATCAAAGTTCTGTCGCCAAGCTGGTCGGAGTGGTGTTTTGGGAAAACGCAGGAATTGTGAATCCAGCCTGGTGTCCGAATCGTCGCCCTGATGGTGACGTGTATGGTCCACATCATCCGGACCTAATCCACGAAACGTAGTTGTTCCTCCGTTACGTTGATTTGGGGCTGTTCCAACAATGTATATGCTATTGGCACATCCTCCGAGACATCCTCTCCTGATTCATTATGACTTTGATCCTTCGCTGCGGCTTGCTTTTACTTCCGCTGCTTAATGGGTCCCAGTTCATGCACCATTGGTTGGTAGTATTTCACGAAAGTGTTCATATCTCTTGCCTACGTGCTTTGCGCGTGTCCACTGGTGGTGATGATACATATGATTCCGGTGCATGTCGCACTTCCTCTGAAGTTGAATTTTCCGAGTATTGCGTTTTCTCAGCTTTTCCCTTTCGAGACTTTGCCTTCTTCGCTGGTGGCTTCTGTGGCTTCGTAGTCACATTACCTTCGGATGCACCTACACCCGAGTCAATCAACTTCTTACGTTTCTGTTTAGTTAGAATTGGTGCCGGTTGTGGCGGCGTGATCTCAATTGCTTCAGCTGTTGCTGATAGTACCGGGGGTGTTTTCTGCTTTTCTTTGCCAACAGTAAACCCTTTCGCGTTTGTAGCCTTAGCTACATTCGCTGCCTTATTCTTGCCTTTCGTCATAAAATCGATAGCGTATTATATACTTAAAAATATGGGAAAGTCGGTCTCCTCTTGGCTGACTATACTTTGTCATTTTTGAAATAAATAATATTATCCCTATACTATACCAAGACGTTTACGTTAATAAGCCAATACGCTAAACGTTAAAATGCAGAATGTTAAATAGGTTTTGCTTCAGCCCTTGACTATTGCCTATATGCTCCGCTCTAATCACTCACTACTTCAGTCTAGATTTATTCCTGTTTTAGTTATTAAGACTTGATATTATTTCATTGGACGCATAGTTTACGTTTCACGCCTCGAAACAATCACCTATTCAAATTAACCAATAAAATACCTCTAAGTCCTTCTTAAGAAAATAAAAAATAAAATCAAAACACCAAGTTGGTGCAGTATACATCTGCACCTAAACCCCATCACTTGGTACCTAGCTCCCATCCCATTTAAGGCATAGACGGGCACATCTAGTTGGCTGGCTAGGAGGAATCAAAACCATGTTGTCCTAAGTTCTAACAACTCTGATCCTGTCCTTTTCTCAGTGGATTATCTTGCTCTGAGATCATTATCGAATTATACTATAGGTTTGTACCAACAACCATTTCATCCCTGAGACCCTCTCTCATGGTACTCCCATAAATTAAAGATTCCCAAAGTGTCATTTTAAGGTGTCAGATTGGTGTCGTTCCTATATTGTGTACAATTATAATTTCAGTGGAAACCCCAATCTATATTTGGAAAGCCACTTAATTGTCCGCAGTGGAGTCCCATACTTTGATGAGTACTATCACATGTTCAGAATCTTAAATTACGCCATTCTTGTTCATGTCCAATTCGTTAAACGTATTCCAGGATTATAAGTATAAACATTAATGCGTTTGTACGTTTATAATATACGTTAACTGTGCAACTACTATTAGGAACCCGCTATTTTTACAGTTCCACCGCCAAAAAAAAAGTAGTGTCATCACTTTTGACATCAAGCGTATCTTTTCAGTCTCTATTTCTAGTACTGTTCTCGAGTAATGTATGAGATGCCTCATACATGTACATATACATGCTTGTATCTGAGGTCATAGATGTGAGCCACGGACATTCGCAATGAGTAAACAACCACCACCTTCGCCACCTACGAGAGTAGATGAAGATTGAGAATTCTGGCCATGTCCTTTGCCAAAACATTTGAGAAAAAGAATGCAATGCAGTTGGTACATGCGATGCAAAGGATGTCCACCCCCTTGTGTGCGTGTTAGTGAAGTGACAGCGTGCTCAATCGATGATTGCTGTTGTACCAAACGAGTACATTCGGATCCGAATAGAATAGGCAAGCAGAAGGTTAGAAAGGTCTCCGAAGAGTCTGTAGTACGACGAAATTATCGTGTGCGAAACATAATGTCGTACGTGGAGCCTGTAGAAGAACATGTAGAGAAGGATATTGTCCTTGATGAGAAAGAAAAGCAACGAAGAGATCTACAAAATGTATATAAAGTATTGAAAATAGATACAAAGCCACCCAACTACTTCATGTCGTACAAAGCTTTGACTACTGGATATACTGGACAATGTACTCAGCTGATAGGTTTGGGTTTTTAAGGTTTAGTGAGAGAACTTGTAAATATTGTGTCTCCAAATGGAACAAAGGCTAGTGACCTAATATACCAACTAGTAGTACATA